GGCTGTGTGCATCCTACGTATGCAGAGGTCAAGTGTGTGCTCATTTTGATTGTATTCGCTTGATGCTTCATTTTGAGTAATAAGTTCCACCCTTTGTCAAAAATATGAGGAACGGTTGCTCTGATGTGATCAAGCCGCTAGTCGTCGGCACAGTGGGTGCCGGTCTTGGGTCGCTGATCTCGTCAAAGGTGTGTCCTTTGGTTGTTCTCGTGGTAGTCTAGCTACAGGGCAGTGACCCAGCGAGGGAAGGCACGATGGTCGTGGGCGGATCGTGTGGCTCGGGTGCAAGCAGGCGCCCATGGCTGCTCGGGCGGCATGGTTGCAGGTGGTTGATACGTCTCCATCGTACCTATAATTTTTGTTTGTTCCACGCCGATATTACACAAAATTTATAAACTTTTGGCAACATTTTATATTATTTTTTGGAACCAACATATTGATCTAGTGCCTAGTGCCAGTTCCTGTTTGTTCATATTTTTTGTTTTGCAGAATATCCATATCAAATGAATTCCAAGCACGATAAAAATTTATGGAGAACTATTTTGGAATATATGTGATTTTTGGGAGGTGGAATCAACGCAAACGGAGCCTCGGGAAATCCACAAGACACCAGGGCATGGCATCCTGGAGCACAATGGTGCCTTGTGGGCACCCCATAAGTCGGCTGGGGCTCTACTTCGGGCACAAGTAAGCTTATATTCGGAAACAAATCGTGTTAAAATTTCAGCACAATCGAAGTTACGGATCTTTGGATATTTAAGAAACGGTGAAATGCCAGATCTGGGGAACGTGAAACAGAAGAGAACGGAGAGGGAGATCCAATCTCGGAGGGGCTCCTGCCCCTCTGCCACCATGGAGGCCATGGTCCAGAGGGGGAACCCTCCTCCCATCTTGGGGGGAGGCAAAGGAAGAAGAAGAAGAAGGAGGAGGGGGGCTCTCTCCCCCTCTCTCCCGGTGGCGCCGGAGTGCCGCCGGGGCAAGGATCGTGACGACGATCTACATCAACAACCTTGCTACGATCAACACCAACTTTGTCCCCCTCTATGGAGCGGTGTAAACTCTCTATTCCCGCTGCAATTCTCTACTTAAACTTGGTGCTCAACACTATATATTATTATTCACTGATATGTGGTTATCCTATGATGTTTGAGTAGATCTGTTTTGTCCTATGGGCTGATTGATGACCGTGATTGGTTTGAGTTGTATATTTATTTTGATGTTTTCCTATGGTGCCATCCATGTTGCGCAAACGTGAGGGGTCCCCGCTATAGGGTTTTGCAATACATTCATGATTGGCTTATGGTGGGTGGCTAGAGTGACGGAATCTTATGCCCGAGTAAGGGGGTTGTTGTGTATGGGAGTAAAGAGGACTTGATACTTAATGATATGGTTGGGTTATACCTTAATAATCTTCGGTAGTTGCGGATGCTTGCTAGAGTTCCAATCATAAGTGCATATGATCCAAGTACGGAAAGTATGTTAGCTCATGCCTCTCCCTCATATAAAATTGCGATAATGATTACCGGTTTAGTTATCGATCGCCTAGGGACAACTAACTTTCTTGTGTGACAAAAGCTATCTAATTTTATTATCCTGCAATTTATCTAGAATTTTATTCTTGCAAAGTACTTATAGTTTTATTCTTGTTCTAGATAAAGCAAATGTTAAGTGTGAGTAGAGTTGTATCGGTGGTTGTCGGTGTCAAAACCGGCGGATCTCGGGTAGGGGGTCCCGAACTGTGCGTCTAGGCGGATGGTAACAGGAGACAAGGGACACGATGTTTTTACCCAGGTTCGGGCCCTCTTGATGGAGGTAAAACCCTACTCCTGCTTGATTGATGTTGATGATATTGGTAGTACAAGAGTAGATCTACCACGAGATTAGAGAGGCTAAACCCAAGAAGCTAGCCTATGGTATGATTGTTGTTCGTCCTACAG